AAGCTCTCAACCATATCCCCTGCAGCAGCAAGCCCCTGGCCTCTCGCTGGCTTTTGTTGGGGCTGGTTTTGTCAGTGCTCAGGGTGTTTAATAATGATGGAGAGGCTTTTTCCCCCCTTTTCTACTCCACTTTTAGTATAACATAGAACCTGCAAGCCCTGACCTGGATGGCACCCGTCACCCTGTGGTTAACTAGGGATTTGGGGCCTCCCTTCATACTCCCAAAGATCCTGGTGTTTTTGGGGGGTGAATCATAGATCATCCTACATGTTAATGCAGGTGGGTGCTAACACAGGGATGCTCTTGGGCTGGAGACTTATTTGTCAGTGAGGTTGTTGTCCAGTGGGCACATCCATTACTTCATGCTCTCAGCTTGATACTGGGAGGATTTCTCCTTTATCTGCAGCAAAATCATCCCCAGAGTCGAGGAATCCTGAACCAATTGTCCCTGGAGAGTTTTGTCATCCCAGTTTTTGGACTTCTGCTTTGATTACCCCCTGCTCTGCCTCTTAATCTCTTATTTCATGCAGCTCTCTGCATTTGATCAGGGCTGTAAGTTACAGCACCTTGCTACCTCTGCCGAGGAGGTAATTCATCTAAGTGAGGGCTCCTGGGAGCACAGCAGATCTGCAATATCCCATTGACTGTAATAGAGGGAATGTCCGAGAGGTCCAGGATCCCTTGGAAGCGCAGCTGGGATGGGAGCAATGCTACAGACTTGTTGTCTCAGGCCTTGGCACATGGCCACAGCCGCCAGTGCAGAGCAGGAGGTGACCACAGCCTGGAGGATGGGAGGAGGATGAGGAGGGCTCACCAGGGTGGCTGGAAAAGAAAACTTGGTCAAATGATGTGTAGAAGTTGACATTTTCCATCCCTCTCTGATTTTGCTGTTTTCTTTCTCATGTTCAATATCTCTGTGTAGGAAACCCCACCTCTGATGCCTCTCAAATAGTTGTTTTACTACTTATTAAAATTGAAATCGATCAGGTTAATAGGAAGGTAAAAGAGTTTTGTCCCTCCTCCTGGGCACATGGTCTCCTCTTGAAGTACAGTTCCCCTCCAAGGCTGCCAGGGTGCCCCCCCACTGCAGTATCATGTTCTTGTAGGTGATGCTCAGCATTCCCAAGGCATTCTCTTAAGAATTAACTGTAAATTTAATTACAATTTCCAATGCTAAAGTGGGGCACAGCAGCCGCCTGACCTGCTCTTTGCCAGTTTAAGGCAGATCTGGAGAGACAGGGGTCATCAATAATTAACTGGGGTGATTTAGGGGGAAGTACTAGGGAGTTAATGAAAACGTGAACTAGCACAATTATCTTGCAAGTAGCTGGGTGTGATGGAGCTGATGAGGAAGAGGAGGTGTTGCACAGGTAACTGCTGGGAGGCTGCTGTTGTGTGATACTGGGATCCAGCTCCTCTGGTCAGTGGCGGTGGAGTTATCCAAGTGTGCGACTGAGAGTTTAAACTAGAACCTATCTGAGGGTCCACCTAAGCACGGGTTTGCAGAGTTTATGGCTCTGGTGGATCAGTCTTAGGGGGGTTTGCATTGGACACCACTGCCCCATTGCTGTCCCTGATGGGACAAGTGGGACCAAGTATGGGTCAGTGCTTGGGAAGGAAGGTCTCTGCACCCCATCACATCTCACTGGCACAGGAGCTGCCCGCTGCAGCTCCAACAGTGTTGGGAATCCCTGCCCCAACACAGGCTCTTATAAAAAGCTCTATTTTAATGACATTTTAATTAAGCCAAGGGTGCTGTGGTTGGCTTTAATTACAGCAGGTGCAGTTCCTGTGTGCTGAGAAGCCCTTGGTCAGCACGATGAGCACGGAGAAGATGCTGGTACTGATGGCTGCGGGGCTGGGGGTCCCTCCACCCCACAGACCCCTTAGTGATGGTCCCAGCACCATGGGGCTCACCCTGGCCCTTGCTATCCTCCTACAAAAAGGAAGGGAGGGGGCTGAAATGGCTTTTATTGACCCTTTTGCTGGGGCATCTGGCTCACATCGCTCTGGGTTATGCCCTTGGGAACACCACGATGGCAATGGCAGCAAACCCAAAGCGTGGTGTTGTACCAAAGCTGAGCACAGCCCTGCATTCCTGAGCTCGGGTACAACCAGTGCTGGGCTGTGGAGCACAGCCTGAGGAAAAGTGGTTTAACGTGGAGTCTCCAGGATCTCAAATCACGTCATCCCAAGTGTTTGCAAATAAACATTTTATTGCCCATGAGGAGAGGGGCTGGTTTAGGTCTGAAGCCCATGATATGCAGAGAAGAGGGGGTTTGGACGGGTGAGCAGCATGAGGAAGGAGTTATTTTGCTGTGCAGAAATCCTGGTGTTATAGAATCATAGAATAGGGTTGGAAAAGGTTGGAAAGGACCAGGGAAGCACTGCAGAAATTCCATAGCAAGTCACCCAGAGAAGCTGCATGGAGCATCCTGGCAACCCCTGTGGCAGGTTTCTGGGTGTAATTAGGGTTAAACAGGCTTCGCTGGTGTGGAAGCCCAAGCAGCAGGTTGGAGGTGTGCTAACAGCAGCATTTGGAGATGTGCTGTTGGTTTTTGCTTGGTTCCTGGCAGGGGATGGGGCTGTAAGGGCCTGACCCTGGTTTGGGAAGGCGATTCCCAGTGGGAGTCATAGAATCATGGCATGGTTTGGGTTCGAAGGGACCTCAAAGCACATCCAGTTCCAACCCCTGCCTCGGACAGGGACACCTTCCACTAGAGCAGGTTGCTCCAAGCCCCTGTGTCCAACCTGGCCTTGAACACTGCCAGGGAATCCCAGCACTAAACCCCTCCAGTGGGCACAGTTATGTGGGACAGTGAGGAAAGGTGCTAGAAACGATGGAAAAACCACCCATGGATCCCTGGGATGCACGTACCGCACAGGGCATCCCACCTACCCGGGCATCCCAGGATCCAGGGATCAGAAGTTGCTCTGAAAACACTGGCACTGCCCAGAAATATAGAAGAAAAAAGCGGGGGGAAAAAGCCAAAAGTGGCTTTTGCCTCTTGTCTGGGGGAGGGAGTTGTGCAGGGCCCAGCAAATGCTTTTAATAAAGTGTTCTTTCCTGCGTCCAGGGGAAAAATCCCAGAAACCTCAAGCCTTTTCCCATTACATAAGGAACAGATGGGGCTGGGCAGAGCCTTGGCTTCCCCACAGCTCAGCCCTGGCTGCTGCATGGCCTGTCCCGATCCCAAAAAAACGGGATGGAAACCCCTGAAACACCCTGTGCCGCTGCCAAGGGCTGGCCCCACTGTGGGAAGATCCATCCTCATCCTCCTGCTCTGCCACCATTCCCTAAGCAGGGTTATGGAGCTCTCCCTGCCCTTTGTGGATCAGTTTGGCCTTGAATAAGCATCATTAAACCCCTGCCTGGGTGAGGGAGGAGGGAAGCATGGATCAGGGGGATGCTCACCTCGTTTCCTGTAAGCCCAAAGAGACACAGGCTGGGGCAGACCCAGCGGGAACCTTGTGTTTTAAGACCAGAACTCTTCCAAGCTCAGGCAAAATGGAAAGTCCTTGTGGGAAGCAGTGTCCAGTCCCAACTCTCTCCTTTTGGTTAAGAGAAACATCTTGGTTAGTCTCGATTTTTTTGCTTTATTTTATCATAGATTCCCAGACTGGTTTGGGTTGAAGGGACCTTAAAACTCAATCAGTTGCAACCCCCTGTCACAGGTAGGGACCCCTTCCACTAGACCAAGTTGCTCAAGCCCCATCCAACCTGGCCTTGCTACAGTTAATATTCGGGTATTGGTACTTTTCCCAAGAAACTTCCTGATCCCTGCAGCTCATCCTGGGCTGCCTTTGGGTATAGAGCCACTTGGCTGTATCCCTGTGTTTGCTGGCCCATACAAATGATTTTGTGTCAGAACAGTGGGTGTTTGTGGCTGGGTGAATGTAGGCACTTACACAGCAGCTCCTCCACAAGCCATGTCATCGCTTGGTGCCTCAGTTTCCCGTTGTAAACCAGCTCTTGCCTGATGGGTTAAAATCTCTGCTGTCTGCTAACTGAAGTCCCAGCTAGGAGCAAAGGATGTGCTTATTCTCTATATGTATTGTGTGTATTTGAGCAACCTGGTCTAGTGGAAGGTGTCCCTGCCCATGGCAGGGGTCCCTCCGAGCATGATGGGGGGAATGGGGACCATGGCTTGCAACAGCACTGAGGAAATGAAACTGTTCCAATCCCAGATGAGCCCCATGAAGGGGTCTGGGGCAGGTGCCTGTGCTGGTGACAGCAGGGACCTGTTCTGCAGCCCCTGGCTCTCCTCAGGGCTGGGTAATTTCTCCAGCAATTAATGCCTCATTAAAGTGCAGGAGGGAACAATCAGGGCAGTGAGTTTTACCCAGAACAATGCTGGGCCCTGAGAGGGTTTTCTGCCTCTTTGTAAAGAAGGAAACGATCTTTCTCTGGCCTTAACTGCTTGCTGGCTGGAGGCGGGGGAGGTGGGAGCCTTGGTGGGCATCTCCATACCCAGCTCTCACTTGGGCTTAGCCTGAGGGTGCACACCCCATGATGAGATCTTCCTCTTTGCGACCCGACACGGCGAGTTGGCACCTCTGGGACATGATGGAATGGGGTGAAAACAGCCCCATCCCAAAACGCTTGTGTCGAGATGCCGCTGTTGAAACTCGCTGGGGTGCAGAGGAAGGAGGCAGGAAGGATTTCCAAGGTTAGGAAGGAGGTTGAAGGGGACTGACCGCCTGCAAGTGCCCTCTGGAGGGTGCTGCTGGAGGGGCAGTGATGGGGATTCCCTTCCTGGGGACAGACGCTAGTGGGGAGACTGAGAGAGACCCAGGTATGGTGGCTCCTTAAAGGCTTTTGAAGACGAGGAGGTGTCTGATGGGCTGCGACAAGGCAGTGTTGCTGGCTGGCAGGAGGTGAAGGAGACCCTTGGTCCTTTCTGGCTGTGTTTTGCGGCTTGCTCCTGCTTGTCCCTACCACAGCATCAGGTCAGAGCGTCGGTGTCTCGAGCCCTGACCATGTCCCTTTCTCTCCCCAGGAGCCTGATGCCACGCACACTGGAGGGGCAGATCACCATGGAGAAGACCCCCAGCTACTTCGTCACCAAGGAGGCTCCTCGGCGCATCTACAACATGTCCCGGGACACGAAGCTGATCGTGGTGGTGCGGAACCCGGTCACTCGCGCCATCTCGGACTACACGCAGACGCTCTCCAAAAACCCCACCATCCCCAGCTTCCAGGCCCTGGCCTTCAAAAACATCAGCACGGGACTGATCGACACCAGCTGGAGCGCGGTGAGGATCGGGATCTATGCCAAGCACCTGGATAACTGGCTCCAGTACTTCCCCCTCTCCAAATTCCTCTTTGTCAGTGGGGAGAGGCTCGTCAGCGACCCGGCTGGGGAGATGGGCCGTGTCCAGGACTTCCTGGGTCTCAAGAGGGTGGTGACAGACAAACACTTCTATTTTAATGAGACCAAGGGCTTTCCCTGCCTGAAGAAGCCGGAGGGCAGCAGCAAGCCCCGCTGCCTGGGGAAATCCAAGGGGCGACCGCATCCCAAAATCGATGTGCAGGTGGTCCAGCGCCTGCGGGAGTTTTACAGACCCTTCAACATGAAGTTTTATCAGATGACAGGGCAGGACTTTGGCTGGGACTGAGCCACCCACAGGACATGGCACCATGCTGGGGTCTGGTCTGCCCAGCAGTATGTGGAGCCAGGACCGCAGTCCAGGGATGCTCATGGCTGCTGTGGTCCAGGGATGCCCATGGCCACCCCACCAGCAACCTCCTCCCTTCATCCTAATTTATATTGGACCTTTTCTGGCAAGAAACGGACCTTCCTGGAGTAGAGAGAAATATTTAAGAAATAAAACCACAGATGCCCCCTCTCCCCTCCCTGACCAGATTAAATATTCTTCCATATAAATTGTGTTCATCTCTATTAACTGTGACTGTTCTGGGTGGGAAGCGGGAGTGGGTGAGTGTGTAGAAGGGGGCATGTGTGTGCATGGGGATGACACCTCTGCCATCCACAATAAAAGCTTTGGGAAGCAGTTGGGCTCTGGGGTGTGTGGGGCAGTGGGTGAGGCTGGCCGAGGGGCAGACTCCATGTGTGGGGTATGTTTTGCAGACAGAAAATAGTCTGCAGGAGGTTCCTTAGTTAAGAAAAGCAATTAAAGGCAGTAGATTTGAATAAATGCCAGGTCTGGGTTTAGGGAGAGACCTAGTATAGAGAGAGGGAGTTGTATATCACATACCTTCTTATGTTCCTGGAGTAACCCAGATGATAAAGCAGGACATTTCTAACCCTGAGGATGAAATTCCCTGCTCCCCCCTAATTCACCCAAGCAGAGCAGACAAAACCCAAATCTCTGACCTTTCAGTTCTATAATCACAATAGGTTTTCAAACCTGCAGCCATAGAAGGGCCATCATGGGAGACTGCAAAATTAGTCTAATCTGAATTAACTACTTTTCCCTTAATTAAAGACGGGGAAAACATTTAATTAACTCTAATATCTTATTAGTGACTTGTATTTGTCTCTTTAATGAGCTAATTATGTGTTTTCAAGGGCCCTCAGGCTCTGTACTGTTTGCAAATAGACTTTGGCTATGGTTTGTTCCACTGAGCAACATCCCAAAGCTGACATCTCAAAGCTGACATCCCAAAGCTGGATATACCAAAACTGGACATCCCTAAACTGGACATCCCTAAAGGGTCCATGCATGCAAGCCTGTCCTGCCAGGTGTGCACCTGGTGTGTCACCTCCCCTCCTCACTGCTGCTGTCTGGGGTGATGGAGACGGTGGGTACCACTTCTCCTGGGATGTGCAACAGGTACCGGCCCCTTTCCTTCCGGCTCCAGGGTGTTTTTACATCAACACATTGTGCTTTATCCCACAGAGCTCTCCCTGCTCCCGCGTCCCTCCTTTGTGTCCCTTGGAGGTGACACATACTTTCTGTATTGATGCTCCAGGCAGTAGCTGAGTTTGAACACATTTGCCCTGTTCATGCCCTGGGACAAGTGAGGTGTAGAGATGGGCTTAACATGATGTTGGAGTTAGATGCAAACAGCTGCCTATTTCAGAGCAGGGCATCATAGTGTGGGTCCATGCATGTGTGAGGGGCACAGGGACAGACACAGAAGCCACCAGCGCAGTGCCAGCACCTGGGGGCTTTATGGCTGGAGTTAAGAAACTGGGATATTATAAAGGAATGATAAGAAGGGATGAAATCAGGACTGTTTCTGCTGGTTAAGATCCCAGAGCCCTCGGAGCGATGCGGGGTGGGCTCAGCACTCCATGCCCATTGCGGGAACCCCTCGGGACCACGAGTGCCCAGGCCAC